ATACGTAAAATGAATGTAATAGAACAAAGCAAAACGACGCGCAGTGGAGATGGCGTGTAAGCCAACTACCCTTTAGTCAAGCGTTAATCAATATTTATAGGCATACAAAAATAAATTACAAACATGTGATGAGTAATGGGATAAGGAGTGTACACACACCTACGCGCTCATATAAAAACAGTCAAGATTGATAAGCGATAATTGACAAGGTGAGAATGTGACTCAAGCAGAATAAATAGAATGGGCTGTCCGAAAGCTAGAATAAGGTATATGGGTTTAACATAATAACCAACATTACACCAAAAGATGTTTGTGGATAGTAATAATAATAATAACTTATTGCCAAGGCGACGCTACGCACACCCCTATTAGTATCGTGGTAGACGCATCCGACTCGGCAACCAATGGTCTCATACAAAACTTTGTTAACCACAACTGACAACCCTTGGAGTGCCTCCCAAGATGGTTGCTAGACACCAAATCGAGGTATGGCTCATTAGGTAGGGAACTCCTAGCTATGTATGGTGCTGTACGGCACTTCCAATACTTGGTTGAAGGCCGAGAATCCACTCTTTTCACCGATCACAAAACTCTTACCTTCTAACTAAGCTCGTCTTCAGACAAATACTCAAGGGTCTCGGCAAATTGACTACATTTCACACTATACTACAGATATACAATACATTTCTGGGCCAAACAATTTAGTTACAGTTGCATTGTCTCGTACAACTTTGAAATGTGTAGATCACAACCGTAGATGATCTGTGTTGAATAAATAGGGGTTTACCCGAGTTGAACAGAAACGGTGTGATACACCTGCTAGGTTCGAAGTCACACCTCGCGGCCAGCATCTCACGTCAATTACCTCTTCGACGTATCGAAATACTATGGCTACTTTGAAGACCGTATAACACAAAGGACATCACTACGGAAATATATTAGTATGAATAAGCATAGGGAAGATAGCATGAACATCACCGCATGCGTCATTAACATAGAGAAGGAAAAGAAGAGGGCCTAAGATGGTGCCTTAGGGTACACCACTTTTGACCGGCTTTTAATCGGATAGCGTTCCATTGACCCTCACTCTCTGTCTGCGGTCACATAAGAAGTTTCCTATCCACTCCTATACAGTACCTATTATTCCGAAGCTCGTGAGATTCTGTATAAGACCTAAGTGTGAAACCTTATCAGATGCTTTGCTAAAATTTATGAATCTCACATCGACAGACAGACCTTTGTTTAAGGCTGCTGTCCAATCCTCTCTAGCAATAAGCAAGTTAGTCAAGCATGAACGCTTGTTACGAAATCCATGTTGCTCATGAGCTAACAGGTTATGTGAATCTATGTGGCTTAGCAACCTTACCAGACTTATCTTTTCAAGTAACTTGACGACAATGCTAGTTAGACTGACAGGCCGGTAGTTAGATACGATCTGTCTCTGACCATCCTTAAATATAGGACTGACTATAGCGTCTTTCCAATCTCTAGGGTGCTGAGCGAGTGGAAGGGACATGTTGACGAGTGCTGCGAGTGGTTTTGAAATAATGTCCGCAAGAGATGACAGCAACCGTGGGTGTAACCCGTCAGGGCCCGGTATCTTACAAGATTTAAGGTTAGTTATCAACGGAAGGACAGTTTCCACAATCACCTGTACAGATTCAATGGCTGGTATCTCGGTGTGATTGGGACAAGTATTTGTTACAATAAACGTAGAGAAGACTTCGCTAAAATAGTTTGAAAAAGTTTCAGCGTTTGCCCGATCTGATTCAGCTAGTAAATCTGAATTTTCGTGTAACAGTAACGGGGGAATACCATCACTACGTTTCATTCGCCGCTTAACATACGGAAACAACCGTTTCAGACAATTATTGCTATCATATACCAACTGTCGTTCGTAGGTAGTACGGAATTTAGCTATAGTTTTCTTACAAATATTCCGGGATTTTTGGTACACACGCTTAAATGGTGCATGACCTGTCAACAAGAATAAGTCCCAGAAATGTTTCCTACGCTTTAACAGCTTCCGGGTTTCCTTATTAACCCATGGATAGCAATGTGATAGCTTACGTGCTGACCATGGGATAGACGGCGACGTTACGGACTCGAATGTAGCCTTAAACGTATTCCATTCGTCTTCGATCTATCCATCTGCGTCGACTGACCAATCAGTCGAGATAGCACAGTTTCTGATTGCCGGAATATTGGCTCTCCAGATATTGGGACGGGGTGGTGCAGATACAAATCGCGTGCCATGTGTTCTAAACTTAAAGTGATGTACAATGTGATTGCTGTTCACTAGCGGGGGAAGGTGCTGAATATCAAAGACACCCTCAAAGTGGTGGGTGAGGGCGAGGTCCAGCAGTGACGGATCATGTTTCAAGTCAATACGCATCCATTATGCGGAAGAATGTATGTGTTTTGGTACCGTTAAACAGACAAGTACGGCATAACAATCCCTGGTACAATTGGTTACAATAATAATTGTTTCCATTAAATCAATCGCGTTCTCTGGATAAAAGTAGGTCACTACAACCACATTCGAAATTTGTATACTTAACATAGCCTAGCAGTAGATCCTTGAGAGTTATATAAGAAAGCGAAATGGGCTTTTCCGGTAAAGCCAGAGTTTTTACTAAGATATATGCTTCTTTTCCGACTAATGTGAGGAAATATGCCACAATATTAACATCCCCGTCATCTTCCTTGGTCACAGTCTAGATTTCGAAACTTTCAAAAGAATCCTCAAAAGTACAAAAATCTGAATGTATGCCCAACTGTTCCATCGCAGGCTCCATCGCGACGCCTATATGATGATTAGGAGTGTTTGAATCTTAGTACAAATTAAGAATCCTAGAAATAACGTAATCAGATCAAGAAGTACTAGATAAGCGCGAACGAATGTACTGTATTCGGAATTCGAAATCATGTATCCAAAAAGTGCAAAGGAATCATTAGTTCATTCAAACACCACAGCAAGTTGGAATTTGAACTTTTCCGTTGTCATGCTACACTACTGTGAATCACATGATTACGAACGACTGCCTACCGCCCATCTGCTCACGGGTTGGTAGAACGATTTTACCGACAGCCCCACTCTCAGTTGCGAACGGCGCTTTTCCGCTCGTTTTACTCGGTATTCGTAATGCAGTCAATGTTGACATTGGATACACTCATCTGCGAATCGATCGTCCAACTTTAAGGACAATTTGTGAACCGTCCATTTTTGTTAACGATTATTGATCTAAACTCTCACGCGAGTATACTTACAAATGCCATGCGTTCACTTAAAACTGTTTCCAATCAACCACAGTCAACTGATGTTTTCGTTCAACCTGACTCACGACATAGTACATATGTTTTCTTACGTCACCATTCATTACGACGACCCCTCGAAAAGGCATACGAACAACCCTTCAACTCCTTTATCTTGAATCTAAATAATATTTTATTAATAAAAACTGGGTGAATTCAGTGTTGATCGTGTCAAATTCGCGTATTTAAAAGGAGACCATAATAATGTGGACTTTCTTCACTTAACACTCAAAACCTAAATATGCCAACCCAGTCAAATCAGAAGTAAAGAATGAAGGAGATTGAAAATATATTTGGAAGGCTATCTGTATGTCGAAGGAACGTTTGGTCCAAGCTGGCAGGTAGTTGAGAGGGATGCGTAGCACAGCGTATCCACTCGTGATCTGAAACGGAAGCGTAACCGAGCGCTTTCAGCTAGGTGAGTCCAGTAAAACTAATGAGGTCAGCATCAAGTGTCAAAGACTTGTGGATCTATTGACTTTGGGGATTTATTTATGGCTACATACTCAAGTGAAGTAAGACTCGCCCTTGGGTTTTCACACTGTGACATGCTATAATTTGTACACTAATCTTCATTATTCTCACTGTATTATGCATCAGTTGTTGTACTATAACGCCATCATGATTCGCTGTAACTTCTAATGCAAGCAAATCATTCTGATCTTTCCATATATTAAAATATTTGACTTGGGCACTTGCATATGGTAATACGTACGTTTCCATGTACTTTCTAGTGCCTTTTTGAGGGTGGCCAAACTTAACTCACTATTTCGTCAGTCGGTGTTGTACCAAACTATAGTGCTTCATATATTAGGTTCAACTGTTAACTTTTATCTGCTTTCACTTTTAGCATCTATGAAAAATAGATATCCCAAATACAGTTTGTATTCAACTTTCATTAGTTACTTCAAATCAACTCTATATATCGACAGAAAGTATACAAAGTGTGTAGGAGGTTCATTTTATTAGCATCATTTTTTAATCCTTCGCGAGTCAATAATACAGACACACAATTGGCGCATGAGAATCTCATCAACCAAGATACGTGGTATACAGAAAACAGGCCACTCACGATCTTCAGATAATTCGATAATGTTTCTGAGCTGAAGAAGACGATAAGGACCCGGATGAATAATGTACCTGAACTTAAAATGAGACAACTGAAATACAAAATAATGATCCATCAACCCAGAGAAACAGTTCCTTGCTTGGCTTGTGAGAAAATATGGTGAAGGTGACTGCCAAGCAGTTAGTACATAGTGACGCCTGCTGAACCTATCAAGACCATCCAAAGTGTCAAAAATTATTCTACTGAGAAATTATTCATCGTTCAAAGAATTGTCTCGTTCTATCTTGCTCACGAACAGTCAAAACAAGCCTCTACATTTGTCTGAACAAAAAACCTTTATCTTGGCTTAGACATGTACAAACAAGTATCATGTTCAGTGTTTCTGGTTAAGAATATATTGCAAACTGATTACTGTTATGGAAAAATATATGCTCTTATGGCTGTCCAGTAGTCGCGAATTTCACGTTTCAGTGATAGAACAGTCATTTCATACAAAACAATATTTTTGAGATACAAGAATTATGCATAACCATGTTGTTGAAACATTTAGTATTTGTTTTTGTCGACCGACTTCTACGTTGTCACTATTACAAATAATTTCTTAGTTCCTGTTAGGATGTTGTCGGGTAGCTCAATTTGTATTGGTTAGTCTCAGAAATAAAATTATGTGGTTATTTCCAGAGCTTTTGTTTCTTGTGCTTTTATCACATTCTAGTAGCGATGTACACGGGATTACAGAAACAGCTGGTAAGTCACATGACTTTCATAAGTATACTTATGAAACGTCTTTTTTAAACTGATACAAAACTAGCACCGATTGGCCTAAATTAATGAGTTAAGTTTATTAATCCTAAATCCACTGAAGTTCGTTTCCGATACACTGACATATACGTCATGTACTTACAGGTATTTATAAGTACACCAGCATTTTCGAATATTTTTTGAAAATCTCCGACAATTCCTCGAAATTCGGAAATTGGGATGTTTTATACTGGTTTACCGAATACTGTGTATATGCTAAAGTATTATTCGTATTGTGGTGGAACTATATTGGTATTGATGGTTATAATCTTGGAGATTATTATTACTAGTGCAACTTACAGTACAGAACCTCTTTTTTCAAAATACATCAACAACATGAGGATGGACTCTTTAAATACTGACAAACATACGGATTTCAGTTTTGTATGTCGCATATTGCTGCTCGTATATTTGTTTCTGTATCTCAATCTCATCTGTTGTGAATGGTATTTCGGGTAATGTAGAAAAACAGTAGAGTATTTGAGTTATTTGGAAATGTTTTGAAAGAAGCTGCCTCTAAGCAGGGTTTTTAATCCTTAAAACGTTCAGGATTTGATATCTATTGGCATGTATACGATAAATTAGATATGCTCTGGCTTAAAAAAGACGTCCCCACTTTAAATATTAGCTGTCTTTCCAAAAAGTAATTATTATTTGGGCATATGCCATAGAAGCTTATTTTTGCTTACTCCTAGTTTTGTCTTAGCATTAAATACAAACAAGTCATACAAATATAATTTTAGCTGTGTTCTAGCAAATAAAAATTATAGGAACAGTGGCAACTTCAAACATTTTGATTCTTCGGAATTAAAGGATATACTGATTATTTAAGTGACTTCTCCCACAAACTTTATTCTCAAATGTTCTACGCCCGTCGTTTAAATCTAAAAAAACTGATCACCCTAAGATTTGGGATGATAAAAGTTCAAAACGTGATTCGTGGTTAAGATGCAGAGATGATACAACTAATTCATGCAAAATCAAACAGATTATTATATGTTGCATAAATTATGTACATGTACATGTCTATTCATGCAACTTAATCAAAAATATTAAACTCATCTGCAAAAATGGAATCAAAGGTGAGAATCAACAAACAGATCTCCCTGCTATATATAAAAGACATATCGGAAACTACAACAAAATTATTGAGGCCATTTGGAATATGTCCAGCATATAAACCATAAAAACCACTCAAATCAATTCAGTACAAACCAAAGGATGAAGGGACAAAAGAAGGAGGATCAAATATTATTTACAAAATAAACTTTCAAATGCAAGAAAAACATCGTACCAAGTAGTCGCTTTCTTTATTTTCATCTGCGTCAATACCAAATAGCTATCAAGCTTCATGATGTACCTTTGCTCATATCAATGCGTGCAGACAGTTGAAAACAAGATAGGTTAAGGAAATGTTGAAACGTTAGATGAAGAGAATACTAAAGATACTAGAGAATTCCTAGCCATCAATAAATACACCCAAATACATACAATTTATAAACCAGTTTGAAAAATTGTGAATTAATATAAGATCCTTATTCAGATCCAAGTGGATTGCAACCGGAATAAATATGCAAACAACGACGGGGTAAATGTCAACAATGAACATTAAAAAACAAAGCCAACAGGGAAACTTGTCCGTTATATGTGAAGAAATTCAAATATATTACTTTATCTGGAATTCATGAAAATGATGTGGTTCGGAGAAATAATGAAAACTCCATTATGAAATTATTTAGCTCAGACAACGAAACTCAAACAAACACATTGAGATGCTAGTTCTCTTGGTTTTCTTTCACAACTACAGCAGTCTTTGTCAGCCATGGAAATAAATATTTAGAATATGGATAGTTTCGGTTTGCAAATTTTAGTGTAGATAGATAAATCAAGGGGTAATTGGGTTTGTATTGCCTAAGGTAAAATCGTAGATGTTTATGTACTCATTACGCTTACTTAAGAATCGTTTATGCGTATATCCAGGAGCAAAAATATCTTATGGTAAATGAAGCTTGGATAAATGAGTAAGGTTGAGCATCGAGTCATCAACTCCTTCCCATAGAAAATAATCTCTTTAACGAAATGTTAACCACAATAAACAATTTAAGGCATTTAAATTCTGCCCTATGAGTTAATGGATTTTCATTCGGAAGAATTGTGACGTTTCACTGTAAAGGCTGAGGTTATTTGGAAGTCAAGAGGCCTATGGCTTTTCTAAAAACTCGAAGAACAATTAATATAGGTACATGGAATGTCCTATGAGCATTTCGTAGCGTTTATAGTAAGATCTTATGGAACCTCTTTTGACACTATGGCGTACCTGAGAAGATCGTCAAAATCATCCGGGACTCATGGGACAGGCTACAGTGAAAAGTGGTACATGGAGAACAGCTGACAGATGTATTCCAAGTGAGGACCGGAGTCAGATAGGGCTACTTACTCTCCCCTATTTCTTTTTCTCAGTGTTTGATCTCCACATCTGACGGGAAACACGGAATACAATGAAAATCTTGCATGCAACTAGGCGATTTGGGCTTCGTAGACGCCCTAGCCCTTCTATCTCATACACACCAACAAATGCAGGTTAAGGCAACCAGTGTAGAAGCAGTCTCTGCGGCAGTAGTTACCAACATACACAAAGGTAAAGGCAAGATCTTCAAATATAACACAGAAAGCACCATCTCAACCACACTTCATGGAGAAACTCCGGAAGATATGGAATCTCACGTACCTGGTCAGCATCGTCGACGAACAGGGAGGATCTGATGCAGAGATAGAGGCGAGGATTAGCAAATCAAAGGCCACACTCCTGCAGTTGAAGAGCACATGGAACGCAAAGCAATTGCTAACCAATATCAAAGTAAGAATCTTCAATACGGACTTCAAGACAGTCAGTTCTACTGTACGGAGCTGAAACTTCGAGAACTACCACAATCATCATCAAAAAGTCACAAGTATTTCACATAATTGCCTACGCAAGATACTAAATGTCCGTTGGACGGATATCATCAGCAACAACCTTCTGTGGAAAGGGACAAACCATCTTCTATTTGAGGAGGAAATTAGGAAAATATGCTGAGAGTGGGTGGGACATACGTTACGAAAATCACCAAACTGCATCACGAGGCAAGCCCTAACTTGGAATCCTGAAGGGGAGCGGAAAATAGGAAGACCGAAGAACACACTGCGCCGAGAATCGGAAGCAGACATGAAAAGAATGAATAGCAACTGGGAAGAGCTGGAAAGGATTGCTCAGGACAGGGTTGGATGGAGAGTGCGTAGATAATTAAGTAAGGTTAGATAAATCATAAGTAAGTGACAAAGTCTATAATAAAGCTACACACGAAGGTGATTTTTGCTGTTTGAGCAAAAAAGAAAATGGTTGTTTTCCTGACTCATCATCAAGTGTAAGTGGACGTTGTATGTGATTTTAGTGTTAATATAATCTCTACTTTGGTTAATAAGCAAAGTCCTGTAGACTTTGATAGCTTCTTTAATATTTTTAAAATGACTCTGAATAATGTGTTTTTTTATGTAGTCGTTTATATTCATTAAATTGAACAATAGAATTTCCCAACACACTTAGTCATTGCCTCATTGAGCTGCTCTGAATAATGTTTGAAAGAAAACTATGGTCTTTCTATGTTATTCTAGAATATAAAATTCATTAATGACCCATACCGAGCTGAAATTCAAGTACAGAGAACCAGTAAAATCTGGGCAAGTCTTAGATTGGACTTGGAATATATGAGCTGAATAGCATCCTTAAAACAAGCCCGTCGTTAAATGACTATAGCTTTATGTTTTGAGCTTAACATAATATTTGACTTCATTTGAACATGGCATTAAAAGTTTTTATTTATTCTTAAGATCTTTTACAGATTGTTTTGCTTCTTGAGTACTCGTTATTCAACTTGAATTAGCCACTTGATATGACATTGTTTGTAAATGTAAAAAAATCAGGACTCAGCGCATAATTTTAATAACAATGTGGGGATATTTTAAGTAATATATTTATATGTTGCATTTGTCTCCTGTGCTGGTAACGGCCAACCAACTAACTTATCTATCTTTTATGGCATCGTTGGGTAGCCTTATATGAACCTTACATATTCTCAACTCGTCAATCAGAACACCACATGGCCAAAATAGTAGTCATAGATTTCTGGGCGTATGGCTATCATGTTTATATATTTAAAATATTGAAGCATAATGCACGACAAATAAACTACGAAACGTACGTTTCTCTGGCCTTTGTTAAAGCACAGCTAATTAACGCATAGCTAACTGTAATTTTTGAACAGTAAGCGATAAAACAACAAATAATTGATTAAATGATAGCTTATTATCATAGTTTTTTTTAAAAAACACTAAATTAATTATTTAATAAAATTACATCTCAACTCACTCAAGAAATGACCTTCTGGGTTTCATATTTTAATTTTCTCATCACTCACTAACGACTTTTCGTCGATAATGTTCCTTGGGAATTAGACCGTAACAAAGCATATTATTTAGCATACTGATTACTTTGTATTCTCACTAACCCTGGTTAAACGTATGCTTGGTGAGATTTCGGTTCACAGACAAGAGATTCATATGAACTGTTAACTTTCCTTTCTAGAGGTATGTCCACAAGCTTGTTAGAAATTAATGTTGATATTTAACAGTCAGTTTTGTTTACCGTGAGATCCACCGAACAGTGAAAGTGATAGAATAAATATTTAACAAACATTGATTTAATATATGGGAATCACAAAGATATTTTTTGGTGCTTAGTATAAATTGATTGGTTACGGAATAATTCCATTAAAAAGATTGCGTATTTTTATCTCTTAAAATGTCTGTGATTTGGGCTTTATCCGTCTTGTCACACATGTTGTAAAATGTATTAAGTTGCTGTGACTAAGTATGGCACTTGGTCACGAAGCCCCTAACTGATCGTATAAATCAAATAGAGGGGCCAGGGATTTCTTGGAAGATTTCACGGTACATAGAGGAAAGTAGTAAGAGGCTCACATTTCTACGATTAGTTTCCTATCTTAATGACTCATAGTCGAATATTCTTGGAGCTTTTTTAATTTTATAACCTTGCTTGTTATCATTTGTATTTTCATTGTAGTTCCTTGTTAACTTTGGCGCTACAATAGTAATTTAATCGAGTTTCCTTCAGTCAATCTCCCTTGTTTGCGTTGAAGTAATGTGTAGCTACTAAGAACAATACATATTGTTTCTAGGTTTTGCGTTGTTACTATGTTTCTGTCTGTTTTTTCTAGAAATAGCGAATGAAATGCCTGTTAATAGAACTCCACTTTTACTTGCTATTTACCAGTTATTTTTATCCTGTGTAGAATATTTTTGCGATGTCTAGCTTCTGACGTTATCTATTTTTCTTGTCATTAGATGACTAGGATGTAAGGTTTTAACGTTTAGATGTTTGATTCACTATGCATCAATTATTGGATTCTCTTAAAAGTGCGTAATATAAAAAGACTTTTTGAGGAAACAACCCTCAAAACCATTAAAAATACACTAGTAATATTTTGTCGATAGTTCATGTGGTATTCCATTTTCTTTTTGAACTGTAAACTAGCATATTTAAAATCTAGAAGCTTAACGAACAACAAATGAAAGGTTATCATTAGACTGCTCAAATTTTACTTATGGTTCACTTAAGTATGTGTCTGATCTTGCGAACTGAAGCTTCACAAACTAGTAAAATTAACCATTTTGTTTTAGTGCATAATATGCTATACATATATTATGACAGATAAATTACAGACCACAAATATCATTCACATGAGACTGCTGTAGATCTGTCGAATATTTTAGAAAGTAACAATGATAGGTCGCTTGATTATCTGTCATCTAAGGAATCTTTGACTATGAACTTAACAATGTTTATTGATAATGGCGAATAAGGAACCAATATTTTAGTCTTTAAGCAAAGTTTGTCGGGCTAACTTGTCTACTGGTTCAAGCAAAAAAGTTTTTCCTTACACCTACCGCCTATACTCCAAATAAAATTTCCCATTATTCAGGTTATGCGACCTCGTCACAATCTTTGGAGACAGAAGAAACAGAAGCGACTGATTATTCTGATGACATAATTTTTCCAGTCATGAATGTATCTTACAGTGACATTACTGCCAACGGTACTAGTTTACCATATTTACCTACAACAACAACAACAACCGATGAACCTAACTCGACAACATGGGAATCAACCACTATAGTACTTCAAAACACAACAGATCATTCAAATGATTCGACTATAGCGATAGAAACAACGGAAACAGCTACAACAATGGGAGTGACAACAAAAGAAATGGAGACAACAACAGTAACAACGGCAACAGATATGATCACAACAGTTGTACCAATTCCAAATGTACACAAATTTTCGCTGAAAAATGGAAGCTCTTACTGCCTTCTGTTTCAAAGCGATATAAAATTTCAAATTTTCTATCACAGTCAGGTAAGAATATGCATTGTTTAAAAGGGATATTGTCAAAATTCTCCCTAGAAAAATCACAAGTTTTTTATGTACCATTACATTTCCTTATACAAGTAGACTAAATAATTCGTCAAAAATATACTTAGTTTACAATATCCTTATGATTTGTTCTGAATTAGTTGGAACAATTTCTGTGAATAACGTTTTTTCCACTGTTTTAGGTATCGTCTATGGTGGAATGCATATGCTCATATAATCGTGAATAATTTTATTTATTGTTATCAAATCATTATGACTCCCGTTTTTTTATTGGCTTTTTTGCAAATATTACTAAATTTTCTTTGAATAAATCTATAGATTTGCATGAACCTGATGTTTAGTGTGATGTGCATAAATATCATCAACACTGAATTGATATACAAAGAAGTATCCCAAAAGGGTATAACGAATATGTATTATACCGTGGCCACATAACTGATACATGAAGATGTATTACTTTTATTGTTTAGGAATAATTTCGAAACTTCCACAGTCAAACATCGAATTTTAGGAAACCCTAATTTTTTATCACACTAGCTTATTGTCAATTGCATGCCTTTGCTTTACATAAACAAAATAAGGAATTTGACTAGCTGGCAACCAGTTGTTAGCTTTGGAAATAATTTTCTCTTAACTTCTTTAATATAAAGACTGTCTAAGAATCACTACTTCAATATTTTTTGAGTGATTTAACACAAAATATAAAATTATTTCTCTAGGATAAATGAAAAATCCACATAGAAGTTCAGATGAATATGGCTTTTGTGAATGTATCTAAAGTCTTAATTAGACGGTATTGACTGTATTCTCCGAGCGGTGATCTTTGTTCACATCCAGACAATGAAGCAGACTATTCAGATTTTGAGCTGGAACATCCAGATGGTGTTTTTAAATTTGATAATTAGTTTTATAATGCAACACTTGTAATTGCATATGGCTTACATCATTTTAACTCATACGCAGAAAAAAGTCAAGACATATTAAATACGGAGAACCAACTGTCAATAGATAGCAACGTAATTTCTAAGGGTGTACTAAATATCTGATGAAAATCTCATTTGTATTTTCAGGATCATGAAATATGATATTACTTGTAACGTCTTAAAAAGTTTTCTACTGGTTTGTAACTCGAGTTTTTTATCCTTAATATAGTAAATAAGTGTCAAACGTTATCCAGTAACAAAAGCAAATTGTTTAGTATGCAGTCGGAGCACACTAGCTGTGTATTTTTGGCACCAGAGATTTCCAACTACTTTAAATAAATCCAGGAATTAGTTACCACAGAGATATGCATTTTTGCATTTCCATTTTATTTTTATGCCTGTATTCAGCTTTATAAATTCCATGACAAACTACAATTCACAGCTGCGTTGAGGACATTTTAAAAGGAAGAATGGATCAGAAGACCATACAACTCTTAAGAGATTTTAGTCACATTAATTTATTCTAGTACTTATCTCTAACCACTGTGTGTGTGCTTAAAATAGTAGGATTCGATGATATATTTAAATTCAATTATTGAAATTTATCTACTGTTGTTAGTTTTTTATGTACCAGTTACTTTTAAACTTGATTATCATTCCTCTTATAAATTGTGTTCCATTTGAAAAATAGAATAAACTGGTAAAATCTTACGAATTTACTGTATCTAATGCTACTATTAACGATAATGAAAGTGTATGTAGTGAACATTACACAAAATTATCACTCACGTTCATACCATATGGACAAAACGAAGAGCATAAGTGGACATTAGTTCTTTTGTTTAATCTTATGGAACCAAACAAAACTTCAAATGATGCGACTACTGTGAGATCTACTTATACATTGAACAGTTTAATATTAAATTATTATATGGATAAGACTTTATTTCCGGATTCATTGACACCAGGCAAGTTATGTCTTTTAATACTTATTCTTATTTTCTATTATCACTTAGCTAGGTTTGAGCTTCTGTTTTGACATCCATAAGGCTCTAAGTTACAAAATTACTTAATTCTCACTCAATAAAACAACTGTATGACTGTAAAACTGAAACATTCCGTTATACTTGTAAGGAGTTATGATAAAGTTTAGTAGGATTTGTAGTCGTCATATCCTGTTACTATCAACTAGTAACAAACTTCATGTTATTAAAAAAAGCCAGAACGAACATGGATGCATAATAACATGAATTCATTATATTTTGTGGTTTCTCATCAGCTGCTTATAACCAAATATGTATTAAAATTTTACATTGAGGGTAAGATATATTGTGAAACAATTGACATCTTATTTGTTACTCCTCGTGAAGGAGCATAAGCCGCTCACCAGCATTCTCCATCCAACCCTGTCCTGGGCAGTCCTTTCCAGCTCCTTCCAGTTCCTATTGATCCTTTTCATATCTGCTTCTATTTCCCGACGTAATGTGTTCTTTGGCCTTCCTCTTTTACTCTTCCCTTCAGGATTCCAAGTTAGGGCTTGACATAAGCGAATATAAAGAATTGGAATAACAAAGGTTATCAATAATAACTATATATGTGTGTGCAAGTACAGGTCGGAGGTTAGAATCAAATAGCATGGGGGATGAATGATATAATAATTGAGTGAAGTTCAAAGACAGATAAATTGTGTGATAATTCTAAAGGTAATGAAGGGTTTGCACAAGAATCCTGGGATTTAAAAAAACCCTGGTAAGATGAGTTGCGCAATAATTAAACAAGATTTGATGATTAAAAATGAAAAATACGAAGCGCAGAGAGGGTATCTCTTCAATAAATTCATTATAATTAAGATAAACCATAGTGTCAGTGAATAAGAAAAAGAGAATTCAGCGAAGAAAATTTTCTTTCCGACGAAATCATTTACTTAAGCTGTACATTCGTATATGGAAAATGTATGTCTATAGGAGGATAGAAAAAATTGCATAAAAAAATAGTTTCGAGGATAAATAGCAAATGAGGTTACGTACTAATCAAGGGGTAAGGTAGGAAATAATTTATCCGTCAGATAATAGTCCAATTGACAAATATGAAGATTAGGGACAAACACATAGGTCATAATAATAATCAAGAAAACTTGTATAAGGTAATAATAATAATAATAATAATAATAATAATAATAATGATAATAACTTATTAGAGTTCAAAATGCAAAATAGTAATTTCAAAAAATTCCATAATAATCAAATAAAAGCGCAGAAATAACAAAAGAAAACCCATTAAGGGAATTAGGGCCAAGGAAGGATGAGAGGTTGGACAAACCGTTTCTGCACGCAGAGTTCGGGCTTGAGTTCGTGAATTGCCAGCGCCTCAGCAGTGCACAAAATATTGATACGACACCCCTTCGATCCTATATATATATATATATATATATATATATATATATATATATATATATATATATATATATATAATTGTAGGAACTTGTTTACTAAATAGTGATACGATTTAAAGAAAAGTATCGAATTTTCGATTATAATAAGGACATTGGTGAAAACTGCAATGTTTCCAATGGTAAATTCTTTCATTTCTTATTATACCTATTCATTTCAGTATCTTTACATTATTAAACAGTCCATTGTCTAAGTCTAGAATATTGTCTGGCTCCAATATATGAACAAGTCATTTTCATATAACTGATACGAAATGTATTCTTTCCATTATTGCTGTTTCTCCATTTTAAAGATCTCCTTTAAACTTACAATGAAATTCAAATGAGTCTCTTACTAGTGATCTGGTAATTTTTTAGTAAAACGTTTGAAGATGGACCTCTACAGAGCTGCTGAACTTTTATTTAGTTATAGCAGTATTTGAAGTTATATGCTCACAATTGAGAAGAAACTACTTAGGTCACTAAATAAGCTCTGAACACATAGTGGTCTTACTTAAAAAAACTGGTCTCTATTTTTCATATTTCTATAGTATTCAAGCATCTAAGTTAATCAATTTCAACCGTTCTAAAGAACGAAAACACAGGCGGCTGAGAAGAAACGTTTAAACATTTTTCATAATCTTATTTAGATTTATTCATTCTTTTTTCATTATCTTAAAATAAATGTGTCCTCAATATAATGTACTCGTAATTGTTAACTGGTTGTAAGGAGTTAGGCAAATATCCTGGATTTCGATTTTATGTATGTTATCTATATTAGTTTCCATCATGTGTCATTTGGAAAAACAAAACAGTTAGTGTATAATTAGTAAGATGGTCATAGTTTCATATAGGTTTGTAATTTGCTGTTTCTAATTCTATCATTAGGTCAATATGTTAATGTGTCCAGCAATAATATGGTATTTAGAATACCTGTTGGATCATATTATTCATGTTTGATTGTACCGGAAATTACCTTGACTGGAAATGAAAAAATCTTTAATAGTTGCAAGTTATTTATGAAAAATTTGAAAGTAGAAGCATTCATGAACAATTCTGTGGAAGCATTTATTGGGAACGGTAAGTTGTATTAACCTAATCTGGTTTGTTGTGAATATCGTTCCACTTGCATTATTAACCCTTAACACTTACTCATAATTATGCGCTGGTGTTAGAAGTTCATTGAATTATAGTAAACAAAAAATAAGTTTTATGAAAACCAAAAATTATATATATATATATATATATATATCTTCAGCACGGTAAACAACAGTATATTACAAGAATGAACTGAATTTTAGTCACTACCTCATTTATGAGGTTTCCATTACATATAATAGTAAAAACACAAAGAATATAACATTAGAAATCCACAAATTAATATTATGAAACTAGTTATTTCGTATCTTATTTCGTTATTATAAATAATAAATGCCAATCCTGTTTACATCATCTTATCAGTTGGTGAGGTTTGTTACTTTCTGTCTGATAGTAGCAGCAGCAAAATTCTTTCATTTGGAGTAAAATAAGTTTATAAAAATCGTATTAACCTTAAAACAGTTTTAATAGCATTGGTTGTTATTATGAAATTAGCGTTGTTTGTACTAGCAGATCCAGTTATACCATTTTGACTAAAGTAAACTGACTAGAAATTGATCTGAAATATTGTGTAATTTTATCGACCAATAAGTTAAACGTTTTCACTTACACGCCGTTTAATAGTAAAACTCTTAGAAAGTGCTTTATTTCCAAAATGTTCAATCAAAATGGTAACTCACCTTTTTTGAATTAAAACTTAATATAAATTTAAATTTGTCACCATATTGTTAGATTCTTGGTAGTTCATCCCAGAAGCCACAATTTTCACCGTAATCAATAGTACTAGGAGGAATTAATAAATTTACTGTGGCTGTTCATTTTAGCCTCCGAATTTATTTTCTTTTGAAATAATAGCTGGTTCAAGTCAAAGGAAATTATGCTTTCTGAATTTTGTGTTTAATAAATAGTTCAGCTAGTGTGCACTACAGTTTTCTTGTTTACTAGGAATATAAGTGTTTAATTTGTTACTAACCGACTAAATTACTATGACGTATCCGTAAAGTAATTAATCCTAAAAAAATACATGGATACTATCAATACTACTTAAAAATCAGGCTGCCAGAAAAACCTGAGATTTAATTATTTTTCACTTAAATATACTTCATTTAATCAGTTTTATAGAAATAAATATAAAAAAATAGTAGAACTAATTCTCTACTTGGATATATTTCTTCCGTTAATAGATATAGTAATCTTTTTGTCGAGATTACTGTTACCTACTTATCGAGGAATTTGTCACCATAGTTATGAAATATTATTACAAGCTAATAAAATTGTTTCATAACCCAATGTTTCTCCGTTTTTTGTTATACAACATTTAACTTATATCAAAGACTTAAGCTTATAAGCATTAAATTTTAATCTTTCACGGAAGATTACTTCCGAAATAACTTGTTTGTTTTCAATACTTAACCCTCCCCCTTTAATTTTCTTTTTAACAGAAACGTTATGTGAATCAGATGTTAATGTTAATAATATGGTACCTATTGGTGTTGGTATTGCACTAATTGTCTGTATTGTGGTTGCCATAACTGTATTTATTGTTTTCAGCAAACGCAATCGTCGTAGTTACACTACACTTTAACTAAATGAGTTCTCTTCATGTACGAATTTATCTTATATAACGTAGCGCATTCTTATGTGTTTTTAGGTATTTGCACGTTTGTATGTATGTATGATTAAGTATACGTTTTCCAGCATGGGGATTACTAACTGAACTGACTATCATTTGACACATTCAGGTATTTCATCTAACCTGTCGTGTTTTACTGACAACTCAATTTGTGTTTAAATATTTTAACATTTCCAATATCTTCCATTACTATTACCGAACAATTCAGTCAATTTACGATTACATGATGTGATTTTTATCAACATTATATACAATGTATGACGTTTTTCAAGTGGATTTCATTGAATTTTCTATGCGACATGTCAATCATTACCACCTTCGCTACTGTTTTTTTCTCTTGACACTTATCTATTCACATTTTCTTATATGCAGTGTTTTTTTTGTAATAATTTTAACCACCTAAATAAAACACAATACATATTATTTTTAGATAAGTGCTTGACTTTTGTTTGTCTTTTAAGTCAAAGCGATCAATGTATGATTTTTACGAAATTACTAAATCCCGCTTTGATCTTATGTCTTAAGGTTAAGTAACTCTCTGACTAATCTTTCTACAGATTTAAGTAGGAAAACACAATTTTCAACCAATCATATATCAGTTATCATAAATTCTTAGAAATGAGAAAGGTTGGGTGGGTTCGTATTTTATTTCAAATAAGGTGTTTACTGTCCGGCCTATTTCGCACAGTTAAAAAAATGGAAACATAGTTACTTGTCATTTTTTAATTTCTAATGATATGAATAAATTGATTTGTTCCAAATTATTGATTTCCTTATGCAATGGGCCCTTATCTCCACACTCCCGTCTTTTAAATAGCATTAGTCTGATGTACTGCATAATTTTAAAAACGCTGGTCCAAGTTCACACCACAAAAAACTATGTTCGATGTAAAGATATTGAATTAAAAAAGCACATTAGTCGTGAGCAGAAAACAATGAAAGGAGCTAAAACTTTCAAGATTTGGAATTGGATATACCATGAACACTTAGTTACAATTATGGTCGGCTTCAAACGTTATATTTTCATAGTAACAAAATAATAATGTGTGGGTTTCCACATACTATACTCGCTTATCAATGGACAGTTGTATATATTGTTGGCTTCGTAATTTAATAAACTTGAAATGAAAATTCTTTATTCACTAACGGGGTTTTGTAATTAACCACCAATTGTGGCTGATGCAACCCCCAAAGCGAACAAATTTATCTGCATTTTTCTATCTCTTCTATAAACGGGTATTAACTGAGTAGAGTTCTTTATCATCGTTCATCTTGTGGGTGTAAGCTTTGTAATAGAATTTATCTGATTTTTTGAAAAGACGCTCCAAAGACACTTAGAATTGCCAAGATTATTCGAAATAGCTTCTGATGGGTTAATTCTAGAGAAGTGTCTGTATAATCTTCATTCTTTAAATATGATCAACTAATGATGTACGGGGAGACCAGAAGTAGATAACTTGAAGATATATGTGGAGTTTCGTTCTCTGAGTTCGATGGTTTTATCGGAAACAAAACTACCAAAATCATCCGCTTAAGCTACAAATTTTCTCCATTTCAAAACCCAAAAATATTCTTTATCAAAACTCAAATTCCACCATAGCTAGTACTTACGTATTCACATTTAATCTATCCATTTCAAAATCTGAGACGAAAGCTCCATGATGTCAGTTTATCTTTCAACTCATATTTAGAATTATGCTTATTATACTATATGTGGGCCTTTTAAAAAATGAATAGTTTTGTAATAATTTTAGTATTTTAAACTCGATATTTACCGTTATGTAATAATCATGAAAATGGAGCTAGAACCAAAGATCATTCAGGTGCATTGTGTTTCTAACGTTCAAACATTTAATCTCATGTTTTCTCTGTCTTTGCTACTATAACTGCTTATAATTACAGATTTATGCAGAGGATAAGTTCTGTCCGATAGTAATACTATCCCATTAGTGTAATTCAAATATTCAGAACTAAAAGCTTGTGACTTAAGGCTTTATTGAGGCAATCCGCACAGGATGCACATATGCCAACAAGATTGCAGCACTAAATAACAATTGGGAGATACAAGTAAAACAACATCAGGGGAATCTAAATGATATTATTTTTAAAGCTTTTTGTTTTCCTTTCAGTAACCTAAATTACTATAAATCAACATTATTTAAAACATTAGTCTATAGAAAATGTCAACTAACTTCCATGAAGAGTACTTAGAGATTTTCTTCGCTATCTACTTATGTTTCTTAAGCAGTTGTTATCGAATATTATGAATAACTAGTTTTTCTTCAGTTACTCTCTTATCAGCATTTTATCTAAATTTCCAATGTCAACATAATTAAATCACATATATACCGTCAAAATAATCATTTTATGAGAAAGCAGATAAATCAGTGTACTTGGTGTAGAAGAAATCTTAAAATGATTGGAATAAAGAGATACGATATGATAGTTTAGTGAACGGTAACTACATTTTTTAAATGGTAAGTAGACTACTGTTATAGACACTTTCTACCTTGTTATCTTTTGTTTACTTAGTCTTTGTTACCTTCCATTATTGTTATCATTGCGTCGTTTTGTTTTCTTCTGGTTAAATTTTCCTTCACTAAGTAAAGAAAAATCCATATACACTTTTAAATTGACATGTTTTGCTTTAGGTTGCTTATATTTGTTTTATTTGCACTGAAATATAAGACTGAAGAAAATCAGTTCAATTTAATGAGGTCTTAAATAACTTAACATAAAATGTTTTTGATTGGGATCATGAACCAATTGATGTTAGACCACCATTGAAAACCTGGAAGCACTGGATGGCCGATGAGTCTCACAATAGGACGAAACGACCATCTAGTGCTTCCAGGTTTTCAGTGGTGGTCTAACACCAACCGGTTCATGATCTCAATCAAAAACTTATCAATCTCCACAACCCCATATTGATAAAAAAAATATTTTTTCTTAAGTCATTCCCTATGCGTACATATATATATCATGCACAATTAGCGAACTGAATCTCCATTAGTGCGTAAAAAACTTTATATCATCAGTTACTAATAGGCTTACCGAAAATAAACAAATGTAATTGTCTTATAGTTGCAAAACTATCAGATGACTGTAGTTTATATGTTAGTTGACTCACCGAATATGATCAGGAGAAATTTCTAAGAAAAATATATCATACTAAAATCTGAATCGTGCAAATTAACAGTAAAATAATTTACAAATTAAAGTGGTCTGTAGAAGAAAAGACGACAGAATTCAACTTAAATTATTATTATGTATAGCATAAGGAATATGAATATTTCGATACATGTTATTCGATTAGATGATCTATTACCAGTTTATCCACTGTAAGATACCTCTTAGTTATGGTGATTTGATGAATTTGTAATAATTTTATCATGAATATAGATGATTGAATGATTCATAAAAATACAAGAAACACTAGATAGGTGTTTTGGCCTAGTTAGAGAATAATCAGTTTAAAGCATACTTAAATCACTTTTTTCGTTTAACTCAAAGTAAATGATGTGAATACTTAGTCATGGAATTACAACCTCTTAGTTTCCGTTATAATATGACTAGTATGGCTCACCGCTACTCTCATTTCTTTAAATCACAAGTTCAAATAGATAATTCAAGACTCTTGTTTTAAAGTTATTAATTGATGAGCGAAAGACTGATAGCTCGCCCGAACAACATTGGTAATATTTTCTTTTGAAAGTCTACAGTATATTATGTGATCATTATCTACACTTATCGTATTTGGTTACGAACATCAATACGTGAATGACTCAAACTTTATTGATGCACAGACATACTGGGATAGTCGCTTCATGTTTTCCGTTATTCTGTATTTCAAACATTCATAAATCTTCCTGAGGTTATTTAGATAACATTTAGTCGGCGAAATAAGATATCATATTGCTAGCCAATGATCGTCAAGTAAGTCTATAGCCTATAACACTCCCTGGAAAATTCATTACAAAAAGTTTGATTTAATATACATTCACGTGCTGTCAATCATTGCAATTCTGATATCTTCGTGATAAGCGGTTTTCTGTATTTTATGTGTTGATGGTGATAATGATAATATTTAGAATTTACTTCAAATTATCTCTTAAAGAAGTATTCTGGAAATAGCTAACTTGATCTATTCTTTTTTCCCTGGAAGATAGCTTTTTTGAGCAACTGGTTTTAATTCGGTTATCACCTTATATAGTTTGATACCTATCTGGTATTCGTCCACTTGTTTATCCAGGTGCTGGTGAACAGTAATAATCTTTATGCATGAATCCGTACACTCTGAACTATTGAATTTATTTATCGTCGTTTTTCACCAACTTGTATTTAAAACATAGATGATCAGAAGTTTCTCCTGAGTTCGCCGAATACTAATTTAAGTGTGATTTATTATCTAAACAATTTAGGTTGGAGGTGAATTTCTAGTATTTCTTGTATACTCCTTTCTGCATGGATTTTCAAAAGATTAGATATTCATTTCGAATCTGCTTCTGTGATAATATTTGGTAAATACACTATTTTAAGACAATCGCGCATTAAATTAAAAGCCTACGTGCATCGAGGTGGCCTGCTTGAATATCTGGGCTACCTGTTCCTGCCATCTAGATATCCCAACAAGTTATCTGTTTCCTTGTTTGTTTTAACACATCATTATGCCTATTAGTCTCATAACCTATGCAAGTGCGTTTGTGAAAAGTTTACGACATTTCGCTGTACAAATTACAAAAGAGCTCTGTCAGAGACACAATGGTTGCTGGCAATATGCATCGAGAAGAATGTACATTATTCACATGTAGATTCCTGAACTGCTAACATCTAACTGGCAACCACTCAATATTTATCGCAAGGATCGATCAAGAAATGAGAAAAGGAAACTTGTTGTGATACATCGTGCTGAAAATTCTATATTGTACCAAAAATATAATATTGAATAAAAC